GACAGGAAGGATGTATTAAAATTCATGAAGTTCTTTCACCTGCATGTATGAAGTTAAGATCCCCGCCCATATTGTGGCCAGAGCACACCCTGTCTCAGTATGGCCACAGGGGAGCAGCAGAGCATTAGGAGCTGCAGACAGATGGGAAAAACCTACGAAATCTGGGGGAAGCCCTGGCACAGTGGCTCACACCTGTAATCCCAGCACTTTGGGAGGCCAAGGTGGGTGGATCACCTGAGGTCAGGAGTTCAAGACCAACCTGATCAACATGGAGAAACCCCATTTCTACTATTAAAACAATAAAATAAATCTGGGGGAAAGGCTGGGCGCAGTGGCTCATGCCTGTAATCCCAGCACTTTGGGAAGCCCAGGCGGGTGGATCACCTGAGGTCAGGAGTTTGAAACTAGCCTGGCCAGCATGATAAAACCCTGTCTCTACTAAAAATACAAAAGTAGCCAGGCATCGTAGTGCACGCCTGTAATCCCAGCTACTCAGGAGGCTGAGGCAGGAGAATCACTTGAACCCTGGAGGTGGAGGTTGTAGTGAGCTGAGATCATGCCACTACACTCCATCCTGGGTGACAGAGCAAGACTCCATTTCCCCCCCACCCCAAAAAAAAGAAGACACTTGGAGAAAAAGACTAGGTTTGCCTTAGGGAAAAATCAAGAGTCCCCTAAAGATTTGTACACTTGCTGATAATCAAAGAACAGGCCAGCTGTGGTGGCTCAAACCTGTAATCCCAGTGCTTTGGGGGATCACTTCAGGCCAGGAGTTCAAGACCAGCTTGGAAAACACAGCAAGACCCTGTCTCTACAAAAATTTAAAAATTAACCAGGCATGGCAGCACACACCTGCAGGAGGCTGAGGTGGGATGAGGGCTTGAGCCTAGGAGTTTGAGACTGCAGCGAGCTATGATCATGCCACTGAACTCCAGCCAGGCAAGACCCTATATCAAAAATAAATAAATTTTTAAAATATGCCAGGCATGGTGGCTCACGCCTGTGATCTCAGCACTCTGGGAGGCTAAGCTGGGCAGATCACTTGAGCCTAGGAGTTCAAGACCAGCCTGGGCAACATGGCGAAACCCCATCTCTACAAAAAATACAAAAATTAGCTGGTCATGGTGGTGTATACCTGGAGTCCCAGCTACTTGGGAGATTCGGGCGGGAGGACTGCCTGAGTCCAAGAGGTTGTAGCTACAGTGAGCTGTGACTGCGCCACTGCACTCCCACTTGAGAACAGAGTGAGAGCATGTCTCAAAAAAACAAAATAGTATAATATAACATAATAAATTTAAGTAAATAAATAATAAAATAACAGTTCTTCTCTGAATTTACAATATATATAATATGTATTCTTCTTTTTTTTTTTTAAAGACCGGCTTTCACCATGTTGGTCAGGCTGGTCTTGAACTCCCGACCTCAGATGATCCGCCCGCCTTGGCCTCCAAAGTGCTTGGATTACAGCAGGCATGAGCCACCACGCCTGGCCGGTTGTAATATGTATTCTTTTTTTTTTTTTGAGATGGAGTCTCTCTCACTCTGTTGCCTGGGCTGGAGTGCAACAGTGTGATCTTGGCTCACTGAAACATCTGCCTCCCAGGTTCAAGCAATTCTCCTGCCTCAGACTCCCAAGTAGCTGGGATTACAGGCACCCGTCACCACGCCCAGCTAAGTTTTATATTTTTTTAGTAGAGACAGGGTTTCACCATTTTAGTCAGGTTGGTCTTGAACTCCTGACCTCAGCTGATCCACCCACCTCGGCCTCCCAAAATGCTGGGATTACAGGCATGAACCACCACAACTGGCTTCTTTTTTTTTTTTTTTTTTAAGAGATGGGGGTCTCCCTATATTGGCCAGACTGGCCTCAAACTCCTGGACTAAAGCAATCATCCCACCTAAGCCTCCCAAAGTTCTGGGATTCCAGACATGAGCCACTGTGTATAATATGTATTTTTTTTACTTGGTTTAGCGTTATACCATAAACCACACACTGTTCTCAGTGCTTTGCAAATATTCACTTACTTCTCATTAACAACCCCAAAAGTACAGTCATCCTCATTTTACAGACGGGAAACCTGAGGCACTTGGTCAAAGTACACACACATTTCTATAGATAAAAAGTGGCAGATGTGCTGAGCACAGTGGCGCATGCCTATAATCCCAGCACTTTGGGAGGCCGAGGTGGGTGGATTATGAGGTCAGGAGTTCGAGACCAGCCTGACCAACATGGTGAAACCTCATCTCTACTAAAAACAAAAATTATCCAGGTGTGGTGGCACACACCTGCAGTCCCAGCTACTCAGGAGTCTGAGGCAGGAGAATTGCTTGAACCTGGGAGGCGGAGGTTGCAGTGAGCGGAGTTTGTGCCACGGTACTCCAGCTTGGGCAACAGAGTGAGACTCTGTCTCAAAAAAAAAAAAAAAGAAAGAAAAAAGTAGCAGAGTGGGTTTGCCTCCAGAGCTTGGGTGTGTGAAAGCCAAGGCCCTGGGCCCCTGGAGGGTCACTGAAAAATCATACATGAGACAGATTGAGTAATATGAGAAAAAGCATACACTTTTACTTAGCATGTATATATGAGAATCTTCAGAATGAAGACACAACTGCCCACCCCCAAATAAAGTACAGAAGCTGTTATATCATCTTGAGGTTACAGAAAAGCATGCTGCCTTGGGTCCTAGCAAAACAGGTTATGATGCAGGGTGAAAAAGAGGAATTCTGTTGAGGAACAATAAATGATTACTCAGGAGAATGAATTGATCTGGGAACAGAGATTAACTTGTAAACAGTTCTAACAGTGAAAAGGCTTGTTCAGGTGTGGTTACATTCTTGGTCTTAGGGTAAGAAAAAAGAACTTTCCTTTTTGGGTCTGGATCTTAGGCAGATAGGGCCTGTGCTTTGGGAGAGATGAGGGGTGTGGGTGTGTGTGTATGGGGGCAATAGGGATGGTCAGAGAGACCTTGAGGCTTTTTCTTCAGTTCAGCATGTCAATGCCATATTTTGGGTTATGGTTTCTGAGCACCAATAGGTGTCTCCCTTGTAATCAGTAGTTTCAACCACAGTTCTGGCATGTGAAAGTATAAAATCCAGTCTCCTTAGGAAGTCAGTAGCCCTACTCTAAACTCTAGTCCATGTCTGTCACCAATTAGCTATTAAAATATACTGCCTTAAGACAGCTGTTTCTTCAATAGTTAAATAATAGGGTTAGGTCCTATGTCTTCATCCACACACTGAAGACCAGGCCTTAAGGGCTGTACTGAGTGGTGTGGGCACAAAAACAGACAGGAAGCAGGCTTACGTGCAAGGACTTTAGGATGTGGAGGGAGAGTTGCTAAGCCAACAATTCCAACAGAGGATGACAGTGTTCTGTTAGGAGCTGGGAGGAGAGGCCCCTCCTATGAGGTGGTTTCCCACCCAATGCAGCAGGTGTGGAATTTGGGCTGGGGATATTAAGAAAGGTTTCCAAGGGTAATTACCGAAAAGGTAGGAATTAGCCAGGCAGGCAGGGGAGGAGGGGTATTCAAGCAAAGGAAACAGGATGTGAAAGCACAGCCTGAGTAAAGAAAACAAAGAGAGTTCCTAAGTACATTTTTGAACATCTATTAATGTCCATTTTAAGAGTTTCTTGGCCAGCAGTTACTCAAGCCTGTAATCCCAGCACTTCGGAAGGCCAAGGCAGGAGGTCAGGAGTTCGAGACCAGCCTGGCCAACATGGTGAAACCTTGTCTCTACTAAAAATACAAAAATTAGCTAGATGAGGTGGAATGCACCTGTAATCCCAGCTACTTGGGAGGCTTAGGTAGGAGAACTGCTTGAACCCAGGAGGCAGAGTTTGCAGTGAGCCAATATTGTACCATTGCATTCCAGCCTGGATGACAAGAGTAAAATTCAGTTTCAAAAAAAAAAACAGTTTCTTTTCCCTCCTCTGCATACCTATAAGCAGCTTCTGTGAAGTCTAACAGACCTAACACAACAGCCTCTCATAGGAGGTGTCAGTCAGTTAACATGTATTTGTTGAGCACCCACTAAGAGCCCTACATGGATGTAAGAGATGCCTAAAAGTCTTGTGCTTTAGTTAGAGGCCACCCAGTTCTGAAACCAGGGCTAGTGAAATGCAGAAGCCTTGTTTGTTCATGTCCAGTGAGGCCAGCAGGCAACAGTAAAGCAAAGAATACCATCACCTGCTTCCCCTATTGTGGCGACACCAATTTTCTTTCTACTTCTGTGAAGGTTCTGAGGTTTTCTTTTTTTTTGAGACAGAATTTTGCTCTTGTTACCCAGGCTGGAGTGCAATGGCGCAATCTCGGCTCACCACAACCTCTGCCTCCTGGGTTCAGGCAATTCTCCTGCCTCAGCATCCTGAGTAGCTGGGATTACAGGCATGCGCCACCATGCCCAGCTAATTTTTTGTATTTTTAGTAGAGACGGGGTTTCACCATGTTGACCAGGATGGTCTCGATCTCTTGACCTCGTGATCCACCCGCCTTGGCCTCCCAAAGTGCTGGGATTACAGGCTTGAGCCACCACACCCGGCAGTTCTGAGGTTTTCTACTCAGAAAGGCAAGAGAAATAGGATGAGGAATGGAAGAGGATTAGGAAAGAGTTTCCAGCCAGGCACAGTGGCTTGCACCTGTAACCTCAGCACTTTGGGAGGCCGAAGCAGGACGATCACTTGAGGCCAGGAGTTTGAGACCAGCCTGGACAACATAGTGAGACTCCATCTCTACAAAACAAACAAAAAACAAGGAAAGGGTTCCATCATGGCTAAGGCAGGCTCCTCTTTGGAAAGATTAGCTGAGGCCTCAGAATAACACTTCCCCTCCCCCAGCACTCCACCACTGGCCCCCCTGGAAGAGGGTGGCTTTGGCCTTTGTGGTTCATGTCCGACCTCACAGCAGGGAACTGTAGACTGAGTCAACAACATTCAAACCTTGAAAAAATAAGCAAGAGTGGTGAGGGGCATGCGGGGGAAAAAGAGTAAAGAGAGGAAAGCCAGAAACAGTGAGCCAGGAAAAAAGGGGACAGAAGACAGGCTCCAGACTGTATCTACGGAGAGACACAGAAGGGAGATGCTGCTGCTGCTGCTGCCGCCACTACTCCTCAGGACTGCCACAAGCCGATGTCTACATGATGAGACACAGAAGTCTGTGAGACTTCTCAGGCCCCCTTTCTCCCCACTCCCCCTGAAATATCGCTCTTCCTCCCTCACCCTCCCTAGCTTCCATGATCCTCAACCCCTACGAATCCAAACCTGCTATCTAGGAGATCCTATATCAGATGGAGCTTGGGATCCTGAGGAAGAAGGGACAAGAGGGGGATCGCGAGCCCTGGCCGCAGTGAGAGAGGCCACTCAGCGAATCCAGGCTGTCCTAGCAGGTGAGTGAGGGAACAGGAGATATCAGGGAGGGTTGAGGAGCAGAGTGGTCCAGGGGAGGAAGATCAACCCAGAAAAAGAACTGGAATTCTAAGGTATAGAGGGGAAACTGACCTTTTGTCAAGTCCGTCCAGTGCAAGGACCCCTGCTTCTGAGTCGAGATGCTGCACGGTACTGCCATGCTGTCTGGGGAGACCCAGATACCCCAAACTACCACAGGTGAGTTCATGTCATTGACAATGTATGTAATTCTTCTTCAGGGATACCTAGAAATGTCCTCAGCTCACCTGCAGATACTCATTCTTGGTAGGTGCAGCCTCTTGAACCCAGGGTACAAAGGAGAGAGTTGCCTAGGGACAAAGGTGAGATTGAATCAACAACTGAAATATTGAAAAAATAAGGGGGGTTGGGGGGATATGCAGAGAGACAGTAAAGAGAGGAAAGCCAGAAATAAATACACCACGGAAAAAGGGGAGGGAAGACAGGATCCTGAGCAGGCTGGAGATCCTGAGCTAGGATCTGGAGATCTGCAGCCTGCCATAACCATTTCAAGACCACCAGCATCCAAGTTACTGAATGTGCTTCTTAACAATGTAGATGGCTGGGTGCAGTGGCTCACGCCTGTAATCCTTGCACTTTAGGAGGCTGAGGCAGGTGGATCACAAGGTCAGGAGTTCGAGACCAGCCTGGCCAATATGGTGAAATTTCATCTTTAATAAAAACACAAAAATTAGCCAGGCACGGTGGCAGGAACCTGTAGTCTCAGCTACTCGGGATGCTGAGGCAGGAGAATCGCTTGAACCCAGGTGGCAGAGGTTGAAGTGAGCCAAGATCATGCCATTGCACTCCAGCCCAGGTGACACAGGTGACAGTACAAGACTCCTTCTCAAGAAAAAAAAAAAAAAAATATATATATATATATATATATACACACACACATCTACATATAAGTATATTCCTGAGCTCCTCTCCCTGCTAAAATTCAGTAAATCAGAGACTAGGGGTAAAGAGGCAGAACTCTGTATTCTAGCCAGCTGCCTAGATAACACTAAAACAGACCAAAGAGACTCATTCTCCCCTATCCCTCATACCCAATTTCTTACTATCCCAGCCTATCTGCTAATGCAACATTTTACTCCCTGCCAGATTCCTGACGCCCACCTTCATGGTTATGCCTTGTGGCCAGAGCAGGGTCCCCCACAACTGGTCCAGCCAGATGGACCTGGGGTCCAAAACACTGATTTTCTACTATATGTACGGGTTGCTCACACTTCCAAGTGCCACCAAGAGGTGAGGTTCAAATCAAATCTCCTTTCCCTGTTCTGCCTCTCTAATCTTAAATCTCATGAGTAGGGTTAGAGAACATAAAAGCAGTTTTTCTGTTTTGTTTTATTTTACTTTTGTTTTGAGACTGTTGCCCAGGCTGGAGTACAACGGCTCGATCACAGCTCACTGCAGTCTCCACCTCCTGGGCTCAGGTGATCCTCCCATCTCAGCCTCCCGAGTAGCTAGGATTATAGGAGTGCACCACCATGTCCACCTAATTTATTTTTTTATTTTGTGTAGAGACAGGTTTTGCCATGTTGCTCAGGCTGTCTCAAACTCAAGCAATCTGCCCACCTGGACTTCCCAAAGTGCCAGGATTGTAAGCATGAACCACCATATCTGGCCAAAGCAGTTTTTATTAAGCTCTGCTGGCAGCCAGGTGCAGTGGCTCACACCTGTAATCCAAGCACTTTGGAAGGCTGAGGCAGGTAGATCATGAGGTCAGAAGATTGAGACGATCCTGGCCAACATGGTGAAACCCTGTATCTACTAAAAATACAAAAAGTAGCCAGGTGTGGTGGCGTGCACCTGTAGTCCCAGCTACTCAGGAGGCTGAGGCAGGAGAATCACTTGAACCCAGGAGGTGGAGGTTGCAGCAAGCCGAGACTGCACCACTACACTCCAGCCTGGACAAAAGAGTGAGACTCCATCTCAAAAACAAAAACGTTGTGCTTATTTGGGATAACTTAGGGATTGCTAGTAACGTACGGGTAAAGGCTACCTCCACCCACAGCCATCCCTTGATACCACTCCTGCAGAGTTCTGCAGAGTCCCCTGGTCCTCCATTTTCAGGGGATTTCTTCTATCAGTGTTACCCTGCTTTTCTCCTTTCTGCCCCTACCTTGTCCTGGTCCATCCACAGCCCTCTGTCATAGCCTATGCTGCCTGCTGCCAGCTGGACTCAGAAGACAGGCCCCTTGCTGGCACCATTGTCTACTGTGCCCAACATCTCACCAGCCCCAGCCTCAGCCACAGTGACATCGTCATGGTGACTGCTGCATGATGACTAGGAGAAGCAAACAGGTTGCGGGATAGGGGGGCCAGGTTACTCAGCTTCTCATAAAGTGGAAGAACCTACAGAGGATGGAATAGAAGGTGCCTCAAGCTCTTGGAAGAGCTGATTGGGCAGAGGGGTTATAGTGTTTGATCAATCCTGCTGCAAATGTGGCCCCCTTACTGGGTAGTCATTTGTCCTTAGGTCACATTACATGAATTGCTCCATGCTCTGGGTTTCTCTGCACAGCTCTTCAAGAAATGGCGAGACTGCCCCTCAGGATTCAGTGGTAAATGAGAGGAATGAGGCTGAGGACTCCCCACAATCAACCAGAGGGAATTCACTATACTATAACCTCCTTCCTTCCAATTTTACTCCACCCTTCCTCGTTTTCTTCTCCTCATATTGCCTTCTTCCCTTTCTGTACTCAGTTAGAGAGAACTGTTCTATAAGGCAACAAGTGACAAGGCAAGATGAATGGGGACAACAGCTTCTCACCACCCCAGCTGCTAGCCTCAGCCTGGCCAAACACCTGGGAGTGCCGGGGGCTTCACTGGGTGTTCCCTTAGAAGAAGAGGTGAGAATAAGAACACCTAGGGGTGATGGAAGAAAGGAGGAGCCAGCTAACAACCAGCTATCTGCCACCTTGTCCAGGAGGGCCCTTTGTCCTCGCACTGGGAGGCCAGACTACTCCAGGGTTCTTTAATGACTGCTACCTTTGATGGAGCTCAGCGCACTCGACTCGACCCAATCACCCTTGCTGCCTTCGAAGACTCAGGCTGGTACCAGGTCAACCACAGCGCTGCAGAGGAGCTGTTGTGGGGCCAGGGTGAGAAGTAAGGGAAACATGCAAAGGGGTACTCATGACCCAAGTCAGCTCTGGGAGAAGTGGGAGAGCTGGAGGGGTGTCTGCTGCTGAGGTATAATTGAAGCTATGAGCATAGCTGGTGCTGAAAGATGTTTGGGCTTCATTTGTTGAGGGCTTTCTTTCCTTCCTCTCTCATCTCTCAAGCAGGATCTGGCCTGGAATTTGGATTGGTGACCACATGTGGGACTGGCTCCTCAGACTACTTCTGTACTGGCAGGTGTGTGTGCTAAGTGGTTAGGGGACTGTACGGCTGTCAGTGATCCTAGTGTTACTCTATCATCCCCTTCCACACAGTGGACTGGGCTGCCACTACCTGCACCTGGACAAGGGAAGCTGCTCCTCAGACCCCATGATGGAAGGCTGCCGCATGTACAAGCCCTTAGCCAATGGGGTGAGTAGACAAGAGAGCAGACAATGGAACTGAGTGGGTCTGGAAGGCAGTCAACTTCAAAGGCATCAGAACAAACACTGTTTTACCTTCTGACCTGCCCTTCAGAGTGAATGCTGGAAGAAGGAAAATGGATTCCCTGCTGGGGTGGAGAATCCCCATGGGGAGATCTACCATCCCCAGAGCCGTTGCTTCTTTGCCAACCTCACTTCACAGCTGCTCCCTGGGGATAAGACCAGGCATCCTTCTCTTATTCCACACCTCAAGGAAGCAGAGCTCACTGGACGCTGCTACTTACATCAATGCACAGGGAGGGAAGCTTACAAGGTGCAGGTGGCAGGTTCACCTTGGGTCCCATGCCTTCCAGGAAAGGTTATTCAGGTGGGTACCATAAAAGGAATAGTTGTGGCATACTGGCAAAAAGGAGTTGGGAAATACTTGTATGGAGGTACTGTCCAACCTGTTTTGATGTGCATACATTTCTCCTAAGTACCCACTGAGTCCATGACTCTGATGTAGAATACATTTTCTTTAGAAGGAACACCTGAGCAGATAATCAAGGCAAAACTACATCCTGCTACATATTTCTTTGCAGATACCTGGGTACTATGGTCTTCTCTTCTGTCCCCGGGGTCGGTTGTGTCACACTAATGAAGATATCAAGGCTGTTACTTCCCCACCTGTGAGTCTTTCAACCCCAGATCCGATATTCCAGCTCTCTTTAGAATTAACTGGGCCTCCAGGCCACTCCCTGGGGAAGGAACAGCAAGAAGAGCTGGCTGAAGCAGTACTGCAGGCTTTGGCAAGCAGAGGTGGCACTGGCAGGTAAAAGCTTGAGTATTTATACAATGGGCCAAGGAGAATCCCTAAGTTCTTTATAAGTCTCCTCTGAAGACTTATCCCCTTCTTAAGCCTGCATCTGTTTCATGAGATATACTCTACCAGGAACTATACCTCTATTAAAAGATCCAAATGTCCATTTAGGTGCTATTTCCACAGCCCATCAGTTACCACTAGCTTGGTGTTTACTGTACATATGTGGAAGTCCCCTGGCTGCCAAGGGCCTTCAGTTGCCATGCTGCACAGGGCCCTGACTCTGACTCTCCAGAAACAACCCCTAGAAGTGTATTATGGCGGAGCCAACTTCACCACAGAACCCAGCAAGTAAGATAATATTCCAAGTACTTTTCTTTCAAATCCATGGAGTCCAGGTGTTTGAAATTAATTAAGCACTCACTTGTGTGTATATTGTCCTAGACAGAGTTATGTGTTTTAGAGAACAAAGATCCCTAGCTAACATGATCACTACCTGACTCCTGACTCCCGTACAATAACACACTCTCCCATCTCTAGGACACAGGGATCTTAGTCCCCCTCACCTCTTTTTTTGAGATAGGGTCTTGCTCTGTCACCTAGGCTGGAATGCAGTGGGGTGATCTCAGCTCACTGTGGCCTCGACCTCCTTAGGCTCAAGTGATTCCCCTATATCAGCCTCTCGAGTAGCTGGTACTACAGGTGCACACCACCATGCCCAGGTAATTTTTGTATTTTTTGTAGAGACAAGGTTTTGCCATGTTGCCCAGGCTCGTCTCGGACCCCTGAGCTAAAGCAATCTACCCGCCTCTGCCTCCCAAAGTGCTGGGATTTCAGGTGTGAGCCACTGCCACTGCTCCCAGCTCCCTTCCTTTCTTAAGCACTGCTCAGGGATTGTGTCTAGCTACCTAAAGACCATAGACTGACTCCTTCCTTAAGCTACTTTCCTCGCTGCTAAGTTAGGTCTTCTTCTAATAATTTAAGATGCTAGAAGACTTAGATTGTGATCTTATCCCTACTTTCAGGTTCTATAGTCCCTCTTAATTATTTCCTGTTTATCTTAACACTTGGATGAGACAGGGTTTCATGAGTTCTATTTATAAGGGTAAAGCCCCTTAGTCGGCCATAGTGGTGTGACATGCACCTATAGTCCCAGCTACTCGGGAGGCTGAGGCAGGAGAACAATTTGATCCTGGGAGGCGGAAGTTGCAGTGAGTCAAGATTACATCACTGCACTCTAGCCTGGGCAACAGACCAAGATCTTGTCTCAAAAAAAAAAAAAAAGGCATTATTCCAGGCCAGATATTACCTTTATGTTCCTAGGTTGCTGGTTACTTCAGACCATAATCCCTCCATGACCCACCTAAGGCTGTCCATGGTACTCTGCCTAATGCTGCTAATCCTGGTGGGTATACTGGGAACCATAGCCTACCAGAAAACATCCACTCTTCCTGTGAGGCCATCTGCCTCTTGCCATTCACCAGAGCTCCATGGCACAAGGGTCCCAGTTAGAGGAATAAGGGAGGTGTGATGTCCAAAACACGATGGGGGTAAGGAAGAGAATAATTTCTTGGAAGGCAACTGAACGGAAAATCTACTGTGTATACTTAAGTCCTACTTTCTTTGTAATGCCTCTTTCCCCAATATCAATTTTACACAGCCTGGCAATGAAAAAATGGTGTTTTACAGTTCTAAAGATTCATTCTTTATTCTGGTACAAAAATAAACTGTTCAACCAGTAGTGTCACTTATTTTCATATTGTTGTAAAGCAAACTTACAGAACAGGCCTGCTACCAGTTCCAAGAATATCACATACATATGCTTTAGAAAAAGTCAGGTATGATGGTTCATGTCTGTAACCCCAGCACTTTGGGAGGCCAAGGTGAGAATGGATTGCTTGAGGCCAGCAATTCCAGACCAGATTAGGCAACATAGCAAGACCCTCATATCTACAAAATAATTTAAGAATTAGCCAGGTATGGTGGTGCGTGCCTGCAGTCCTAGCTACTCAGGAGACTGAGGCAGAAAGATTACTTGACCCTAGTTTGAGGTTACAATGATCTCACACTCACTGATGATCACGCCACTGCACTCCAAACTTGAGTGACAACCCATCTCTCAAAAAAAAAAAGTCACTGCTATTTGGATTCAAACAGTGTGGAGGAGGAAGTAACTAATTATCTCCCTCTCCTGATTTTTCATAATTTTATTAAATCATCACCAGGAAAGCTAATGGTTTAGATATCGCACAATTACACTAGAATCTGGTAAGAGCGGTAAAAGCAGACAATGGAATCCAGTTAAAGTATAAAAATACCACCTTTTATTGTCCTGTCTTATTTCTGGGGAAGGAGGGTCCCATTTTACACACTTCATAAGCCAGCAGTGGGCTTGAGTTACAATGTGTAGGTTCCTTTTGGTTATAGCTGCAGAAGAAGCCATCAAATTCTTGAAGATTTGATATCTCTTGAAAAGAAGCAAACTAGTAGACCGATGAGCTGGATTGCTTAGATTGATAACATCTACAAGTAGGAGTCCAGTTGACATGCTATTAGTGTTGAAACAACTATGCCTGTACTGGTCAATGAGTTCAGTCAGTTGGTTGGAATACCAGTTCCAGTCCTTTAGATGACGACACATTTGAACTGAGTTCTCATTGTAGAGTCATGGCCTTGGGACATAGACATAGAGTCTTGGCTCAGCTATGGTTATCTTCTTCGGTCTGAATGCCTATCAGTCCTTACCAGCTGTAGCAGCCACTGCTTGGTAAAATTTTGCCACAAAGTCTGGCTCACTGAACTCCAGCTGTCTGACAAACTCATTGCGCTCCTGCTCAGCCCAGCCTCGAAACCACTGATCCCAAAGATGTAGCTGGCATTCAAAGATAGAAGGTGGTCGGTTTGCCCCAGACACACTAAGCTGCTCCAAACTATTCAGCAGTGGCTGTAATTTTCCTGGCACTGCCTTAGCTACCAGGTCCTCTAGGAAACGTTCACGCTGGGGACCTGACCAATTGGCAAACCAGTGAAGAATACATTTCATCTCCTGGGAGGTGATGTAAGACATTGGAGGAGGGGAAGGGTTAGTGTTGTGTGGTATTGAGGGTAAGAGAGACGGGCAGGATAGTGGCATTGAAGAGGAAGGTGACTCCAGCGGCATCCTGAAACATAAAAGCACTGTTATATACGCTCCAGATAGAGCAACAAAAATACAACTTTCAAGCAACAAGAAATCTTACCACACTCAATTAGCATCTACAGAGAAATTACTATATACCAATTCAAGGACCCAAAACAAAGAGTCCTTTATTTTGATTATCATCCAACTACGTTAGAGAAATCACCAAAAATAATTTCATTTCATATTTGCCTGCTTTTTTTCTTTTCCAAACCCAATCTTCCCTAACTACTGTCTCCCTCCATCTTTCTTATAAATAACCTAAAAATAACCAATTATATTTCGTGTTCATTCTCTCCCTCTTACTGCTATATGCCAGGTTGGGTAAAGAAAAAAAACAATGATTAATGTTGGTCCATCACATCTTCTCCAAAATGAAAAAGCACACATTTTTAAATCTAATACCTGCAGCTGGTCAAGGCTGAAGCTAATTGTTTTGTAGCTATCAACATTGGGGGGGGGAGAAAAAACATTATTTATTATAAAAAAAAGTCTTCAATGTGCATATAAGCCTCTGAAATATGCCAAGAACTTCATAACATCCGTTACCTCCTTATATTTCCTGTAAAGCACCAGGAAAAATTAAAGAGCAGAATAAGGGCCTTGCTCAAAATTAGGTAAAGCAGTAGAAGAACCAGAAGCCTGGTGTTTATTCAAGACTTAAAATAACAGTCCAGTCGGTTTGTTGGCTTAGAGATCTAACAAGTGTTACACTATTTTATGACAATCCATGTATTTGAACAATTGCCTTCAGTATTCGGTATGGGCCAGACGAGGTGGCTCATGCACTCCCAAAGTAATCCCAGCACTTTAGGAGGCCAAGGTGAGAGGCTCGTTTGACCCCAAGAGTTCGAGACCAGCCTGTGCAACATGACAAAACCTCACTTCTACAAAAAGTAATAAAATTAGGTGTAGGGGCACCCACCTGTAGTCCTAGCTACTCCGGAGGCTGAGGTGGGAGATCACCTGAACCAACGAATTTGAGGCTGCAGCGAGCCGTGACCACACCATGCACTCCAGCCTGGGTCAGAGCGGAGTGACGCAGAATAGAGTGACCAAAAAAATGACAAAAAAATTAACAATTTAAATTAGTTCAAGTACCAAAAAAGTTCAGGGTTGCATTTTCCAGTTCTTGCCCTACAGGAAGCAGTTACTCCAAAGGAACTTATTATCTTCTTCGGAGAATGGGAGAACTTCTCCAGGATCTTGCAACATGGCTTCCAAGGTAAACTTAAAGTTCAGCGTCATAAATCACTTCACAGTCTGGGTCCGAAGAAACGGCGCTGCCTCTTGCCCACTTTGCAGGCCACGGAACTGGTAATTCCGATTTCTGCCCTCCCACCCCCAAAAAAGCCTAAGATGGGAGTGGCAGGGATTCAGAGGACAGAGGGCAGAGGCTGTTTGCGTAAAGCAATAGGAGGCTTGCCCTATTAGGGTAATCCGCAAACACCAAGTCTGATCCGGCCCACAGAGATACTTCTACCCCGCTTACCTCCCCTTTTCTCTCGGAGGGCACCCGAAGATTGTCACAAGAGTCCTTACAATCCAACCGCCACAACTTCCATATTTCCTGAAAACCCTAAGCTGGGCCAGCCCGGCAGCCCACGCATTTCCGGCCTCGGACCCGCCCCAAACACCCAGGTGCCCCAGCGCCTCATCTCTGGGTCCGGAGATAGACGAATATCTCCGATTATGGTTATGCCCGAGTCGAGGGCTTCCGAATATATTCGATTCAAAACTTCGGCAAGACGAAGAAAACCGAGCCTGAGAGCAGGGCGAGAAAAAGGGAGATGCACGGCGGATGGAAAGAATTGATTGGTGCCGATGTGGAGACGGAAATATCCGAGCACATCCGGAGGAACCCGGGAAGTTCTGAGTGGTAATCGAGGGTAGAGTACGGCAGTGGGCGGGGTCACCCCGGTACGTTCGAAGGGCGTTGGCGGAAATTACCGAAGATGCCCGAAGCCGTCGGGACGGACCCGAGTACCTCACGCAAGATGGCGGAGCTGGAGGAGGTGACTCTGGACGGGAAGCCTCTTCAGGCGCTGCGGGTGACCGACCTGAAGGCCGCACTGGAGCAGCGAGGCCTAGCCAAGAGCGGGCAGAAGAGTGCCCTGGTCAAGCGGCTCAAAGGGGTAAGGAGTCGGCGTTGCTGGGGTGTCGGAGGAGAGCGGACCCGGTAGAGACGAGTCTCTGTCGCGGCGCAGGCGCAGTATCCGGGCTCGGCGCGAGCTCGCTCAGGCCGCCAGCGCGAGCCTCTGGATCCGCGCGCACGGTGGTTGGTGAGGTTTGCGCTGGAATGGAGATCGCGCCGGTTCCCGCCTTAACGGCAGCAGCGCGAGCCCAAAATGGGAGTGTGTGCACTACTCTCCAGGAGTGTCTTAAGCTCCTTCCTCCTTCCCCCACCCCCTCCTTGTTTGTGTCTGTGGTTTCGGCGCATGCGCTGCAGAAGGAGTTAAATCCCACTACAACCTCCGGCGTTGCTGGCCTGAGGGGGGCGAGTTGGGCTGGGTCGGAGTTAGGGGCATAGTTGCGCGGAGGGGTGGATGGGGTTGGTATCGGTATCCGCAGCAATAGGTTTGGGGTAGGGTAAAATGTCTGCTCGATTAGATGAGGAGGTGAGATGAAGAGAGACCTTTATTTGAAGGGACTTGATGAGAGGTGTCTAATTTATAGGGCATCCAGCGGCAATTTGGGTGGTTAAGAGTTTGTTGAATATCGGTGAGAGAGGTGAGGCGGGTTGATATGTATATTGGGGATTTTGAATCGGTTTGAGATTAAGGTGGGATTGTCATGAGGTAGGTGTAGATCGATTCGATTATTTAGGTTTGGTTTCAAAGAAGGTAAGATGAGGATGTTTTGGTTTTTAATTAGAGTTCAGTAGGATACGTGGCAGGTAGTGCAGATGAGGGCTGGGTTGGCTCAAGGGTTGAGTTGGCAGACCGTTGCTTATACTAGAAGCTGGTGGGGGTGGGAGTGTGTGTATATTTACGTATAGATTAGGTTAGACCACAGTTTACAGGGTCTGTGGTCATTTTTTTCTGTAGCCTTTTCTTTGGAAATTTTATAAATTTGATAAATCTAGGTGCCACTCTGCTGGAAATTATACAAGTTGACTCTAGTCCTGGATAACTCTTTGACCAAATAATAACGGCAAAAACCAGGAGCCCCGTGGCTGCTGGTTGGTTCCGCATATTTAAAACTGGTTTGATTATTTTAAGTAATTTTACCTGCACGGTCAGATTTAGAAGGGGCACTTGGCAAAAGTGCAGAAGATAATAGGGATTGTAATACTGGTTCTGTTACTGATTTTATGACATAGCCAGGTCACTGATTCTGTGTGCCTGCATTTTATATCTGTTCATTTAGTCGCAGTATCCATGGCTACCTTTAAGGGTCTTCTGGAGATGAATGAGAGCAGTGATAGTAAAGGGATTTCAGGTCCCTGGAAAAGGAATACAGTTTAATTGTGTGAATTTAAGCCACTGCATTTAATTAAGAGGTTGTGGTAGGGGTGGGGGTTTGTTTTTCTCATTTTTCCTCCTCATTTCTGACTTTTACCCTTCTCTATACCAGGCTCTAATGCTAGAAAATTTACAGAAACACTCAACACCCCATGCTGCATTCCAGCCAAATTCCCAGGTGAGAAAGAAGGTTCATTCAATGAAGTGGGCTCTTTGGATATACAGACACATGGAAGAACATGGTGTTGTGTATTTAGTGCTTAACTCCTCACCACTATTTTCCTAAGCTCCCTTGGTCAGAAATGTCTCAAACCAGGGCAGTTGAATTCTAATCAACCCAATTATGTACAAGGGCTTGGAGTAAAGAACAGAATCAGAGGAGCTATTAGTTAATTTATAGTAATTGAAATGGTATGTGCAGAAACATGTGGCTTCCATTAATTAAGTGTAGTACAGAGATCTGAAGTCATATATCTGTCATAAATTTGGGAAAGGTAGTTGATACCTTTGAATACAGATATGAAGTAGACCACCAATAGGGCTGTGTAGAGAAATACTTGCTGATTAAGAACTCTGGTTGACATAGATTTTCCAAGGGTTCAATCCTTTGTAAGTCACCCACCATTGCTAGTGTTAACTAACTCGATGCACTTACTGATAAACATTACTAATAACTCCATTACTTAGGATAAGAAACTTAACCTTTGGAGGCCTTGGTTTTCTCCATTTCCTCATCTGTAATACGAGAAAAAGTCAGACTAAGCCCATGGGTTTATAACTGCTCTGTTGGGGCTTTGTGGAGCTGCTTTAGGAGGGGCTTTCTACAGGAAATACCTTCTTCCCAAGTAAGCAAGGCTCATACTCTTCTCTTAGATATACTTTTATCTGCTTTAAATTTTGAGTCTCTGCATGAGATTTCTTTTAAATAAATTATTTCACAGTTAAAAACCAAAAATTCTTAGGCTGCACAGTCTCTTAAGGTTTCTTTCAGCTTTTAAAAATCCCCTCATAATGTGTATATACTTAGGAAAAATCCAGATCTTTGTTAAAGCAATGGTGTGCAGCCTCAGTACTAGATGAAGTCCCAGGATACTGTGGAGAACAAGAGAGCCTTCCCACTCCCTTGTTATCATCACCTCATTAAGCTGTAAGTATCATAATCTAGACAGCTTTTAGAGGTTCAGTTAAGTACTTTAACAAGCATAAGAAACTGCGTAAGTTAATCAGCTTAATTGTATTCCTTTTACCCATTGCATTTTAGTCTTTGAAGCTTTCCTTTTTATTAAGATAGGGGTTTTGCAGCAAACATGCCTATTCTGTAATACATGCAACCCACCTTTCAGCAATGCCCATTGAGTACCAAGAGACTCATTTCTACTTTAGGTGAAAATAAACATTTACTATGTTTAGGAAACATGACTAATAACAGAAAATATTAAGGTTTTTTTGCTTTTTAGGGAGTTCTAATAGGACTTGCTAAGTAAGAAGGTTTTAAGGAGGAGAACTTGTGAAGGGAAGGCTGAAGGTCAGAAGAACGACATGGGAATCTGTATTACAGAAAAAAAAGTAGGAAAGGCGTAAGCCTCTGTTACCAAGGATTTTCTTTCACCCAGAGAAAATGGAGTTATAACTTTGTCTAAATGCTAAATGGATAACCCTTTTCATAGTCTATTGATTTCATACTTTTAAATACTATACTTGAATTTTGAAGATGTTTGATAAAGTATTTCCTGGATAGGAGGTCAGGTGTGGTGGTTCATGCCTGTAATCCCAGCACTTTGGGAGGTTAAGGCAGGCAGATCACCTGTTGTCAGGAGTTTGAGACCAGCCTGGCCAACATGGTGAAACCCCATCTCTACTAAAAATACAAAGCTAGCCAGGTGTAGTGGCACACATCCGTAATCCCAGCTGCATGGGAGCCTGAGGCAGGAGAATGGCTTGAACACGGAAAGCAGCGGTTGCAATGAGCTGAGATCACGCCATTGCACTCCAGCCTGAGTGACAGAGTGATACTCTGTCTCAAAAAAAAAAAAGTTTTCTGAGTAGGTAATGATTGATCTTTTGGAGGAACTGGCTTTTTTTTTTTCTTGAGATAGAGTCTTGCCTTTAACCCAGGCTGAAGTGCAGTGGCACAATCTCAGCTTACTACAACCACCACCTCCTGAATAGCCAGGATGACAAACTCACACCACCATATGCCCAGCTCTTTGTATTCTTTGTGGAGACGAGTTTTGCTACATTGCTGAAGCTGGTCTCGAACTCCTGAGCTCAAGCAGTCTTCCCACTTCAGCCTCCCAAAGAACTGGGATTACAGATGTGAGCCACCATGCTTCAGTCTTGATACTACCGAAAGAAAATTTTAGATTACCTTTAGGTAATATGCCACATTATCTAGGAATTTAGCCTAAAAGGTATAATTACCAGAATTTTATTTTATTTTTTATTTTTATTTTTATTTTTTTTGAGACCGAGTTTCACTCGTTACCCACGCTGGAGTGCAATGGCGCAATCTTGACTCACTGCAACCTCTGCCTTCTGGGTTCAAGCAGTTCTCCTGCCTCAGCCTCCCGAGTAGCTGGAACTACAGGTGCACACCATCGTGCCCAGCTAATTTTTGTATTTTTAGTAGAGATGGGGTTTCACCTTCTTGACCAGGATGGTCTCGATCTCCTGACCGCGTGAGCCACCGCACCCGGCTGAATTTTTTTAAGGTTATTTGTGGCTGGGCTCAGTGGTTCATGCCTCTATGCCAGCACTTTGGGAGGCCGAGGTGGGTGGATCACTTGAGGTCAGGAGTTTGAGACCAGCCTGGTCCAACATGGTGAAACCTTGCAGGTGTGGTGGTGCACACCTATAATCCCAGCCACTCATGAGGCAGAGGTTGCCGTAAGCTGAGATCATGCCACTGCACTACAGCCTGGGCAACAGAGTGAGACAAGTTCTCAGAAAAAATACATTTTTTAAAAGTTATTTGTATACCAATATCGCTACTTGGGAACTGAATATTTGAAACAAAAAATTATGTGCAGTTCTTTTTGCCCTTTATTTTTGTGACTGAAGGCTATTCTGTTCCTCAGTGTAGAACTAACTTAGAAAAGAGCCCTTCAGCATTTTAGTTACCTTTCTTGGTTCCAAGTATAAGGAGTAGACCTTTGCTCCATGGAAGTTTCTCCTTTGCATTTTCCTACTTTGTTTTCCTAGACCCTCTTTTTTCATTTTCTCTACACAGATTGGTGAGGAAATGAGCCAGAACAGTTTCATAAAACAGTATCTGGAAAAGCAGCAGGAGCTACTTAGGCAGCGTCTGGAACGTGAAGCTCGAGAAGCTGCAGAACTTGAAGGTAAGCCCAGATTGTCACTTTTAACAAAGAGTTCGTCATTCTTATCCCTGTCACCAAGCAGATAGGCCTAACTAGGTGATTTCACAAATAAGTGAGGCTGAGACTGCTACTTACTTGCTTTTGTAGCCCATGAAGCCAAGTGATTTACTATTTAACTTTTTGTCAGGGAAGAGGACACTTAATTTGACTGTCTTGTTAGAAGAGGATTTCTGCCAACAGGAAGAGTTATAAGTAAATTAAGCTACCATTTAGATGAAGTAGAGCTGAATCCCAGGGAGTTTTTT